CCAAACGAACAGCTAGTGTCTGTCCTTTGTGTCTGTGTGTCTACCAGGTGACACATCACTTGTCACCGTCAATGACTCACTTTGGCTTGGAGTGGCCCCCGAACTGCAGCTGCAGAGCAGTTCAGAAATTAAAGGCGTAGCATTCCTTGAAGAAATTCATATTTCCTGCTTCCTTTCATGGCAGAATTTCTTAATTATTATGGGGATACCTCAGAATCTGTGTTGGGGGTGGTGGTGGTGGGGGTGATTCTCAGCTGTGACCTAACCAAACTTTAGCTCAGTATCAGAAACACTGCCTGAGTTAGAGACAGCCATCTTGAATCGCACTGACTCCAAAAGATAACACATTTCACTGTTTGCGGACAGAGATTTATTCATAGAACTAGTAGTTTGTGTTAATCCCCTTAATTTCACAGAAATTACACTGTACAGTTTATTTTTTATTTTATGTTACTGTTATTTAACCAGGTAAATCCCACTGAGATCGCTGATTTTTTACGTAAGAATACATTTTTTCTCTTTTTTTTTGTGAATTATCCAACTAAATAAAGTATTAAAAACATTACAATATGCAAATTTTGTAACATAAACATTAATATAAATTCAGTTCCATATAAATAAAAAATACAGGACTATACAGTAGAGCTCTCATGTATTTTTTTCTCACCACATTACAATGCCCACCCAAATGTGCTGTAGAGATTTTCTGGACCACATCCAATATTTTTTTTTTCACAATTTGCAGATACGCTAAGAACATAACCACTGTAAAAATCAGGGCTTCACTGTAGGTTATTTGACAAATACAACAGTACACAAGTTAGGTATAGATAAGACTGTATGGCCATGAGAACACATTAATAATATATATGGAGCTAAAATTCCCTTCAAGTGTGAAATGTATTTGGATGATGTAACTGTGTCTAACTGGGACAGAGATAAAAGATTATTGAATATGTTACTTGTTGCAGTAACATATTCAATAATATATTGAATATGTTACTATGAGGATAGTGAATATGTCACTATCCTCTGGTGATAGCTTACGTAAGTAAGCTATCACCAGAAAGTGGTGGAAAGTGGAGTCCCCTACCATTGACAGATAAACATAATACATGAAATATATGTGATGGAAAAGTTGTCTTTCTTCCTCAGGATGCAAAAGGACATCTTTTTAAAAATCTGGACAAAATGGACTGAGGATGTAAAACCCCTTCGGTTGGATTTCCTTTAAGAGTTATGTTCTGGACTCAAAATTTCTTCTTGTGAGTCGCTACGTTTACATGGATATAAGTAATCGGATTAAACAGACATTTGGAATAAAAATGCATCATGTAAACAGCCCGTTCGGATTATTCTGATCCGAATGAGCTTGATCTGAATGAATTTTTAATCCGAATGAAAAGGGTGGGTTATGCCGATTGATAATCGGAATGACGTTCATGTAAACACTTAATTTGATCTTTTTATTCTGATTGTAGAAAACTGACCTGTGAGCATGTCTGCTGACTTTCATTCACCTGGTGGGACAGCAGCGCTGCAGCTGCGCTGCACAGTGTAGAACTTTTCCTCCTCGCTCTCTTAACAGATGAAAAAGGAGGCAAACAGCAGACGTTGCTTCACAAAAAATTAAAATAAAAAGCACGTATTGCTTCATCTGTAGGCTGCAGCTCAACCGAGGAGTAACAACGTCTCTACGTTATTAAAAGCTGACACGGGTCCGTCCTGAGCGCACAGAGGAGCGTTGTTTACGTTTGTAACACGGAAGTAGAGCTGACAGTTTACGACACTGCACAGGTCTGGACTTTTATTCTGAATAAAACTCCGGTGCATGTAAACACTTTTCATGATCGGATTGTGTCCATGTAAACAGTACATTTGGATTATTTAATCCGAATACATTTCAATCCGATCAAAAGATTTTGTGCATGCAAACATAGCTGATGATGACATGCTTCTTATGACTACTATCATACTGTACTATATACTCTACAGCAGTGTATCCCAAAGTTGGGGTCGGGAACCAAAGTGGGGTCCTGAAACATCAAGGTGGGGTCCTGAAAAGACTTTAGGACTTAATTACATTTTTGCCTTAGTTGTTACAAAGGAGTGAGGTTAGTGTATTTAAAATGGATATATGTAGTATAAAAATATTGTTACTATGCCCATGTTTAGTTGACCTGAAACAAATGTTTATCATCTAAAAACAGTTGGGGGCACAGGTCTCTGCTACTGTTACTTTGTGGGTCAAAAAAGTTTGGTAACCACTGCACTTTGGTTCCCAAAGTTGGGCTTGGGACCCAATTATGGGTCATGAAGCACCTTGGATAATCTCCAGAAATCAAT